AGTATTAAATAGCAGTCTTGGATGATGAGAGCTGTTAGCTATAATGGAGGACAAATATTTGGACTTGGCTTCCTTTAGAGCTCTCTGGTTGAATTGAAATGTGGAATATGGGACATTAGGGGACATTAGGGGGACAGTAGAGGTCCTGCTGTAGTGCAGTCTCTCAGCCACCAGAGGACGCTGTCCTACAACAAGCAGTTTCACTCTGTTTCCATACAGCTGTTCATTACGTCATACTGCTGCTCAATGTATTTCCATGCTCTACTGCCATGACGTCACTAGTGGGCCGTCCGCCATCAAGTCCTCTTACACCAACCGGATGTTGGGTCATACTTCCTTCAAAATAAAAGCACACCATTTTATTCTCAGTACCCAGCAGATCATTGCTACTCCAGGTCCTCAGTGTGAAAGAGAACCAGATCTCAGCTGATCTGGTTCAGTAAAGGTCAGATATAAAGGGTCTCTGTGATCAGCTGTTCACTGTGGATAATGAGTCTGAGCTTCAGAGATACAAACTCACCAAAGAGTGAAAACTGATCAATATCAATATCAATAAAGATAAAACAGAGACGACATAGACAAATATAAAAGACCATCATTTAAAAGAGTGAAGAGCTGGACAGGAAGTGTGAATGATATTTACAATCCAAAGGATGAGCATTAGTGTAGATTCAGGCTGGCATAGATTATTATTAATAAAATAAGATAAGATATTCCTCCCACAATGGGGAAATTCCAAATGATCTGACCAGATTCTACGAAACTAATAATCAAACAAACATAAATATATGATGAAGTTTCTCATTATATTGATTTACAGTATCCTTTTATTGGCTGACAGTCTTTATTAGAAGAGTATTTTGTCACAAATTCATTGCATTTATTTTGAAAGGTGCCACCGGATGTAGCTGTATGTCTCTGCGGGAGCTTCACTGGTCCGGTGGCAGCGCAGCGAGGACCGGGTTTTCTTCAGTTAAACGGCTCCTGCAGTGCCGGACGCATCCGTACCGAGTCCCTCACGCTCCTCTAGCCGCAGTCGGGTCTCGGTCTCTCGGCCATGGCCTCCATCGTGTGCCGGGTCCAGTACCTGGAGGACTCGGATCCGTTTATCTGCACTAACTTTCCCGAACCTCGGAGACCTCCGACGGTGAGTGTGGAGGAGAACCTGCCGCTCAGCGAGCAGATCGCCGGGATACACAAGCTGCTGGAGGCGCCTCTGAAGGTGGGTCAGCTGCCAATCACACAGTCAATAATCAATCAGTAATGTGATTAATTGCTGGTGCTGCCAATGGATGTTTGACACCTGTGGAGGTGTTTTTAAGTTATTAAAGCCACAGGTGTGAGACATCCCTGAAGTTAATGCTCACACACTAAACTCCCCTTAAAAGTCATGTGAATGAATGTTTCTGTGGCAGTTTGTCCATTTAAATAAAGATTTAAAGGCTTCAGTGTGGGAGAGCTGTAACCCATCAGCAGTTATTTCTGTCAGAGGTAATCATAGTTCATATGAGCAGTTTTTGCCCCCTGGGGTGATGCGTGTTGCTGAATTTACCAGAAGGCTTATATTGATGGATCAGTCACGTGTTTTGTAGATACAGTTAGTAATGAAATGTTCCACATTAAAAATGGCTCATTTTTAAAGGGAGTCTGGTATGAAGTTTTCCCATGAGAACTTTTTTTTGGGTGAGCTGAAGACTTGAAGATGCTTTGTTGACTCTGTCTTCAGTCAACCAACACATTAAACAATTTATATTAATATGATTAATAATAATAATTCATGAGGCTTCACTTCAAAGCTTACTGTATAAAATATATAAAACTGTATTAAAAGTTTATTATTAAATATTGCCACAAGCGTCTGATCTATAATCTATACCCGTTCTGTGATGACCAACGGTTGTTGACTTGTTTATGTGCTGAGCCACGCCCCCTCTGAAGCTCATTGGTCGATATCTTAAAACATAATAAGTTATCAATACGCTTTATGCATCTATTGATCAGCTTTATCCGATGATCCACAGACGATCTGGTAGCAGTCGCACCAACGGTTCAGGACGAGACGGCAGAAATGTGGACTTTAGTGGTCCGAGAGGGTTGTTACAGCGCCACCATCTGGCCGATTGGGCTCATGTTCACGCATCATTTCCTGTTATTGGACCCAGTTTCATGGTTTTAGATCAGCTCTGAGCCATAAATAATAATACATCCTCAAAAAGATGGACGATCGGAATGCAGACCCTCTCTATCGCCCCCTGGTGGCTGACTGACCCCAATCACTACGGCACGGTTTCTGACTCCGAAAGGTGGGAGATGGCAACGATATATATTGTTAAAATGCTAAAAATACAGAAAGAGAATTGTATAAAAATATGAATATTAAACTCATCTCTGATCAATAATCACTGAGTTCACAGTTAAAGGTCCGTAAGCTCTGTCTCTGCTGGTCTCTGAAGGAACCACGGCTGTCTGGTTCCAGCTCTCTGAGTAACGCCGCTACTTCCTGCACATCAACGGGATTCGTCCTACTTTTGTCCTGTTTTTCAAACAGGAAGTGAACGCAGCTTTAGTGCTCGCAGGTTCTCTCAGCGTGAAGAGATTCCTCAGTTATCTGTCAGAGGCTGAAGTTCACACTGAGATAAAGACATTACTCAGCAGTCTGACGTTTCCTCTTATGAAACGTTCTCATTATAATGATTATTATAATAATAATAATAATAATAATAATTATAACACTGGGACACTTTTATTATTCACTTTATTCTTTACGAGCTCCGTGTGAGGAATCCAGTCCACGCTGCTGCGAGGCGTTCGAACCCCGCTGGAATCTCCAGGATCAGCGGCGCTAGATTACATTCCTCCACCGACCCATTAATTGTTCCCATCATGCAGCGGGGCTCGACCTGAAGGCCGAGATCCACCGAGGTGATACGGAGACTCTCCAGCGCGAGACCAAACATTATGTGGATCCTCTGGTTTTCCAAGCTGGTTTTCTCCCTCCTCCCTGGTGGTTGTGGAGGGACAGGGTGGGACCTGTAAACAGGAGATAAGCTGGACGGACGGATGGACGGATGTAATACTAACAGCAGAGCCTTGATAAGAACTCAACAGGCTTTTCCTTCCGCACATAAAGGCAGCGGCTGCAGAAAAACTGCCTGCTGATGACTTTTTGTTTCTTACACTCATTGTCTCTGGTCCAGTACACACATATGGTTAGCCTAGCTTAGCACAAACACTAGAAGTAGGGGGGAACTGCTAGCATAGCTCTATCAAAAGAAATGAAGTGTAATCATCCTCTGTGTTTAGTCCCCAGTGGTGCTCTACTGCGACAGTCTGAACCTTGAGAACAGCTGATTGGCCGATATTGATTACCAATTACCAATATAGTGAATTTCTGAGCTGGAATGAAAATAGACGTTTTCTATGTGGTCTGCTTTCTTAAACAACTTAAACAACAACATGTTGATAACAATATTACAGTTAATTATATTATACTTACAGTTTTTACACAGAAAATATCAGATAACATAACATTATCAGAACAAATAACGTCAGTGCGATATATCTGTGTCACCGTCAGGAATGCTAATGCTAAACATTATACCTGCTAACTATCAGCGTGTGAGCGTGTTAGCATGCTAATGTTATGTGTGGTATGTGTTGGAGGTGCATGAGGATCTGCAGTCTGTGTTGCTGTGGTTGTAGAAGAATGTGGTTCTGCTGGTTCAGAGACTCTGCAGCGTGTTCATCATCAGTCCTGATTGTTTTCTGCCCTCAACTGCAGCTTCATACCTGACCGTGACTCATGGACGCTCAGCCTGCCAGGCTATAAATAGTCAGGAAGCATTCTGATCTCAGCACGCGCAGCAAAACAGCAAAAAGTTTATCTCACAAACTGCCGTCACATCTGCGGCATGACGTGTTCCAGAGGTCAAATAACGAGAGAATCAGTTCCTCAGAGCGGGAACGAGAGCTGCAGTCCACTTTAACCACAGTTCTTCACCATTCATCCAGAAAATTAGCATCAGATTAATCAATAATGAACAATCTCCTCATGCATTGCTCAAGCTCTGTGAGGCTGAGCTAAATGCTAACATCAGCA